ACGTTGTCCGGTGGGGTCATTCCTCCAAGGTAGCTTGTCACCCAGGGGTGAGTCGCACATTATTTGTTATCAAACAATGATTTTGGTGGCCAGCTATGGCTCGTGATGTGCGCGAATTTGTTTTGGCTTGCTCTGTCTGTGCAGTTTCCAAGTCTTCCAATCGTCCCCCTGCTGGACTCCTCCAACCGCTGTCAGTGCCTTCGAGACCCTGGTCACACATCTCGCTAGATTTTGTTACGGGTCTTCCATCCTCTAATGGTAACACGGTAGTTTTAACCGTGGTGGACAGGTTCTCGAAGGCTGCTCATTTTATCTCTCTGCCCAAATTACCATCAGCCAGAGAGACAGCGGTTGCTGTCATTGACCATGTTTTTCGCATACATGGCCTCCCGAGGGATGTGGTCTCTGACAGGGGCCCACAGTTCGTCTCTAAATTCTGGAGAGAATTCTGTCGTTTATTGGGGGCCACTGTTAGTCTTTCTTCTGGTTTTCATCCCTAGAGTAACGGCCAGACTGAGAGAGCCAATCAAGATCTTGAGCGTACATTGCGATGTTTGGTCTCGCAGAATCCTTCCTCCTGGAGCCAACAACTTTCGTGGGTGGAGTACGCACATAATTCGTTACCAGTGTCTGCCACGGGCCTTTCTCCGTTTCAGTGTAGTCTAGGTTACCAGCCACCAGTTTTTCCCAGTCTGGAATCCGAAGTTGCGGTTCCCTCCGTTCACGCCTTTGTCCAGAGGTGCCGCCGCACTTGGAATAGAGCCAGACAGACCCTCCTCCAAGTGGGGAAGCGCACCAAGGCTAAAGCTGATCGCCACCGGTCTAAGCCTCCCGTTTACGTTGTCGGTCAAAAAGTGTGGCTTTCTACTAAGAACATTCCGCTCCGCACCGTCTGTAATAAGTTAGCTCCTAAATTTATCGGCCCTTTTATTGTCACTAGAATCATTAGTCCTGTGGCAATCCGCCTCAAATTACCTCCAGCATACAGGAGAATTCATCCCGTGTTCCATGTATCCAAAGTAAAGCCCGTTTTTCATACGGCAATTAATCCGCACACACCAGTCCCCCCCCACCGCGTCTCGTAGATGGGGAGATTAATTCTGGACTCTAGACGGAGGGGACGAGGATTTCAGTACTTGGTGGACTGGGAAGGTTACGGTCCGGAGGAGAGAAGTTGGGTTCCGGCCGGGGACATACTGGACCACTCTCTTATCGATGATTACAATCGCCAGGTAGGCTCATCTGGGGACGCCAGGAGGCGTCCCTAGGGGAGAGGGTAATGTCACGGTTGTGGATCCATCTGCTCCTTATTTGAAGTGTCTGCGTTGTGTGACAGTTCAGTATCATGATGCGTGTTTCTAGTATGTGTGCTTTTTCTCTCTGTGTTTGTGTGGGTGTCGCGTGGCTGTCAGTGGGTGTTTGTTTTCATGTCATCAGCTGAGCGGTCACATGATCTTTTGTTACCGGAACTGTTGCGTAGCGCGCTCGGCTGATAATCAGCACGCTACAGGTGTAGCGCATTTTATGTGCCTATAAATGATCAGCGTTCCTGTCTCACTTTGTCAGTTCGTTGTTTGTTCACGGTGTTTTGTGTTTTTGTCAGGCTCCTCCCGTTGAGATCGCTGGTGGTGAGTGGTTTGGTTGATTCCTTGTTGCTGTCTCTGATGACCCCTCTTCCTGCTACGCTGAGTGTTTGATCTGCTCTGTTGATGAGTTCATCGGAGACATTGCTGTTTCTTCTACGACGAATGTTTGATCTGCTCTGTTGATGAGTTTATGAACATTTATCCGGCGCTGCCGAGACGGACCATCTCTTTAATTACTACTACAGTTTCCTCACCTCCAACCACTCACCATTTTCCCTGTTTTGCTTAAGTTAAGCAATAAAGATTTTTTACTTGCATTTGGGTTCCACGTCTTGTTTTTTAACTGTCACAATATGTGTGAAACCACTACATGTAAATTTTATAATGGATTGAATAAACCAACACTTATCCTGCATATGTTTTACACAGCGGATGACCTTCCAGCTGCAACCCAACACTGGGAAACACCCATGCACTTATACACTCTTGCATTCACACACATACACTATGTCCATTAAGCTTATTAAAATCACTCATAGCACATGTCTTTGGACTGTGGGAGGAACTGGAATACATGGAGGAAACCCCCGTCAACACAGGGAGAACATGCAAACTCCACACAGAAATGCCATCTGACCCAGCCGAGGCTCGAACCAGTGACCTTCTTGCTGTGAGGTGACAGTGCTAAAAAATATTTCTACAAAAATATAAAATTGATATTGAATTAGAATGCTGTTTTTGTGAGAGCTTTAATGAAACTATTTCACATTTATTTTGATCTTGCCAATACCCTCAACATTTTTAGATTGATATTGAATATTTACTGCTCATTACGTTTTAAAAACATTTTCTTTATCTTATAAACGTTATTTTGGGTTCTTTTGTCAAGGATCACTTTTTATTATAACACTGGTTTTAATATTAACTTTAGTTTACTATTATTTTAATTTCACATACAAATGCAAGTTTGCAAAAAAGCAAACCTCTCTTCATGGTGCTAGCAAAAGAGATTAAACGTATACATATAAGAAAGCGATTTCTATGTTTAAAAATAGAAAAGCAATTAAAACGGTTAATATATGCTCCTCCTTTAGGATTTTTGCATAAAAATGTTTGTATATGTGTATTTTCTGTCATAAAAGTGCATTTAATAACTTTTGTTTATAACTAAATTTAGAAAAATATGTAAAGTATATTTGTATGTAATCTGATAATTGTACCCTCTTCATCTTTTTATTATCATTATTTTATTTAATTTCTTCTTTTCTCATTTAATTCTTCAAAAGATTCACCTCCTCACTGACAAAGTTCAGATAATAATCCCTTCATAAGCTAATTTATCCCATTTTTGACTGCTATGCCACCATAAATTGCAAATGACTGATAGAAGAAAGGCTTTAAGCTAAATGTAATTTTTAATTATTCAAGTGGCCAAATTCTGACTCAGGAAAGTTGAATAAGCTAGCCCGTTTGTTATTTGCCTATAGGCTACAGTTTTTATTTTTAAACAAGTTTTACCAGATTTTTTTTTTTAAATGATGGATTATAATAAGTTTGCATTTAAAATTAAGTATTTTTTGATATTATTTATTTTATTTTATTTTTTAAATGCTAATCTCATAATAATTTAAATTGTATAAATTGGAAACATTTTTGGTGCAGTGTGGTTAAGATCACCTTCCGACAAGCTGATCCAGCAAAGATTAATTCTTAAAATGTCACACAAAAAAAAGAACGGCTGCTTCCGAAACCGCTGACTACTCAGTAGGTACTGCATTTGAGTTTAAACGTACTACTTGGTCGTTAGAAAAGTACCTTCTATACAGTATAAATGTGAGAATTATAAATGGAATGTATGTACTACATCCACCATTTTGTCATGATCACGTGAACTACCTCCGTCAGTTGCGTCACTTTACTCCCATTCATGAATTCTCTCGTGTGGCATCATGGGATAGCGCAGCGTGTATGGGCACTTCAAAATCTTGCCTGAAGTTGTAGGTCATCCGGGTACTACTTGCATACTGATTTTCAAATTCTATGAATTCGGACATACTAGGCTTTTTAGCCTACTAGTATGGACATATGCGGTTTCGGTCACAGCCTATGCCTTTCAATAGGCTGGCTATGGAGCTGATTTGAATTCTGTTTTGGCTAAAATAGTCAAAAAGTGTGGTTATGATGAGCATTTGACAAACTAATTCAGAGCATTCCTAAGAATGTCACTATTATACATAATTAAACAGAAAATAAGTTGTATTTGCAAAAAGGTCTACTTTTTGAGAAAAAAAGAACCACCTTTTGGACAGGCTGACTATGAGGCCTAAATCATTTTACTTAATAACACATTTCTTAACACATTTAAAATATATAAAGTATATAAAGTAATATATATGCATGTCAATGTCTGCAGGGTGTATTTTGTACACCACTTCAGAAGGTAGCCTAAGTTGTTTGAATGAACCATGTTTGAATATCCAAACAAGATAGTTGTGGCGTTGAGGCATGCAGTTTGCTTGACCCAATCAAATTCTATATTAGGAAACAGCAATAGTTTGGAATTGATTTGCAAAAATGCATCCAACATTTATCAAAATATCTTCTGTTGTGATCAAAAGGAGAAAGAACTGTCATATCCATTTTGAATAGGTGAAGGATGAACTGTATTTCTGGGTAAACTATAATTTTAACCAAACAATTCATCTAATAATTTAAAATAAGTATGCTGTTTCATATTTTTTTCCGCTAATTATTTCTTTAACTCATACTAAACATAAAGCTTAGCTCGCGCTAGCAAGAAACACGCAGCCTGGATTAGCATGAGTGGAGCGGATCTGTAAGGATTCATCTGTAGTCATTCCAGATCCATTCCAGGTTTTACATTTAATGCAAGAAATATTCACAAACACATCTAACGGTTAAACCCGCTCAACAGCGCCTCAGGCAAAATCTCAAAACTCCACTCCAATTCACACGAGAAAACAATACCCAAATATTGTAAATACATGCATCATTTATTACTTTATTACATTGCTGGCAATGTAATATATAATGTATAACTATATTAGGGAACACTAGATTTTATCCTCGTTTTTGCTATGAATGCATTTCAACGTGTCTTTCATGCTATTTTTGTCGCTAATGAAGCCCCATATTATTAGGCCTACCACCTAAGTAGGGTATTCAGTTGGCTTTTGGTGCTCTTGGTAATCTGCAGAGCTAACATTATTGCTCTTTAAGTAGGAAAAAAGTCCATGAATTTGAATTATCTGGAAAACAATAAACAACGTGGATCCCCATTCCCCAGAGAGAAACACAGGACAGGTGCGTCACTAGAAACCGGTTTGTTTGGCTTGGCAGCAGCAGTAGAAGTGCCGTTCGCCCCCAGACCTAGGCGAGGCGCTAATGTGCGCACGACTGACACAAGGAAGCTTATGACTCCACAATAATATTACCAAAGTACAGGGAAACTGTAAGGAGCTCTGCCTGTTTAGATGGGATGGCAACTTTAACCAGCGAACGGAGAGCGTTTGCGCACAAAATTAACAGGTAGGAGAAGTTTGGCGAGAGTTGAAATGTTGAGGTGTCGTGCTGTGGTTTGTTTCACGCATCGGGATTCACTCAAACGAGAGATAAAGAGAAGATCCGCCACGAGTTTCACTGGGATGAACCTTTTGTTCAGTTCAACTCTCCGCAATTCGCAACGCTGTGACACTACAACTAAAGCGCTTCAGTTTCACTCATTTATTAGATTAAATGTCCAGCACATTATTATGTGCTATTTATCGTGTTTAAATCGTTAATGATAATGATTCGAGTGGATGAAAAGAGGATGCGTCCAGCACCATGAAGTGAAATTTGATGACAGTGATATCATGACTACGTTAGACTTTCAACTAACAAGTTAGTCAAACAGATATTCCACTTTGCGTAGGGCCAGTCTTTTATAAACTATTTTAAGTCTAAATATGCACATTACAGATGAAATGATGCAAAAGTGTTTTTTATATATATATTGGGAAAATACAGTTAAACTTATTCAGTTGCTCAGTAAGAGAACGGCTATGAAAGAGCAAACAGTTGTGTTTTTAATATAAGGAAATTGTACGTAGAGGTTGAAAATAGAGGCATGATTCTCTTTTTTTATTTTGCTTGTACAGTGATCTAAATCAATGCATATTGGTTGAGTAATTATTTTAACCCTTTAACGTTAATTAAGTTGTGTAGAATTGTTTTGAAAGTACCCCCACTGACACATTTATATAATGAGCATTAAAGTTAAAGTAATTTTAAAAGTTGAAAACAGGTTCTTCAGTTCAACAACACTTTTCATATATATATATATATATATATATATATATATATATATATATATATATATATATATATATATATATATATTAGAGCTGCACGATTCTGGTTTTCTCAAACATATGGTAAAACAACAATAATAATTTTATATGTAGGTCTACTGGTTTCTGTAAATAATTCTATTGTACATATAATAATTCTGATGTTGAATTATGTTTGACATATAGGCCTATGCTTGCAATCATTGACAACATTATTAGACCATTTTTTTCACTGGTAAAATCAACACTATATCAAGGTTATAATAGTTTTGGATTTTTCATTAGTTTTAGTTTCTATTTCGTTTTGACTTTGTTTTCAAATTCAGTTAGTTTTTATTCGTTTTAGAGGCAGCATAGTTTTTATTAGTTTCTATATTTTAAAATGTCTTAGTTTTAGTTTAGTTTTCATTAGTTTCAGTTTTTTTTCTAAATGAGGATATTTGTTTGGTACAAGATTCAAAATCAACAGGAAATATTGTATAATAAAAACCCAGTCATACATTTTTTGAAACCTGTATTCAGAGGACACATGAACACTATCATCTTATTTACCACAACCATCTACCCTTCCTCAAATTCAAATACAACAGCCCACAAGAAAGCAGCCCTAAGTACAATATGTGTGCAAGGCTGCTTGTTAGGTTAGACATAGTGATGGGCAGGGCCAGATTATCTAATGGGCATCATGGGCACATTATGGGTACTCTCCATCAGGAGCAAGACAAGTAGGAATAATCAATAAGTGTGTGTATTATAGACGACTCAGATTCCTAGAACTGGATTGGAGAGGCGTTATCCAAATCATGTGCATTATAAGTTTGTAGAAGTTATACATTAAAATTATTGATTAATTTTATTTAACAAATATTATATTAATCTTATTTTTTATTCAACTGTGGGGTGCGGCTATAGGGGTTCTACAAGACATTGTGCCCAGGGGCCTCTGAATTCTTAATCCAGGCCTGGTGATGGGAAATTCAGATTTCTAACGCGAATGTTAGGACTCAACATTTTGTAGTCAGCAATAGTAATTTCAGTCAGTTAAAACATCACCATGATCTGAAAAAATTCTTACAGTAAAGTTTTACTTACTGTAAACCCAACTGAATCATGCTTCACTTATTTAAATTTCATTACGATTGTCTGTTCTGAAATAAACTTACGTTTTTCACCAGATGCTCTCATTTAAGCCCTCGGTTTACCCGCGCTGCAGTTGTTCCAAGTTCAGTTCAGTCATACAGCAGGCTGTACCGTTTGTGTTTGGTTCACTGAATCACACATGCGCAGTATTATCGGTTCACTGCCTCTCAATGTAACGTTACTGTTCTAATAACTGCATGAGTGCGTATATTGGATTATTTAGTCAGAGGGGGTATTAGGCTTGTTATTAAGTAAGAAGTGGGTGGATAAGTGCTTATTGGAGACGCGAATAATTTCAAATGATTGAGTATGATTTGGTGAACTTGTTCAACCGGTTCACTTAGAAAATCCGATTACAAAGATTCGTTCACGATCGCGTTACAGAAATAAAACCCATTATTGGGCACACATGTGTTAAAGTAATAGTTTTAAGTCTCTGTATTTAATGCTGTCCCCGTGCTGCTGTCATGTCCACGCATTTTTGTCGCGGGAGCAACAGAAAACATAACTCGAGGAGAACCGGCTCGATCTGGCCAATGGCAGCAGGAGACTCTGAGGTGCTAAAGGATCAAACACAAACACCTGCAGCGTGGATTATATTTACTTCTAAAAGGCTTACAGTAAGATTATTTATTACATACATTTACAAATACGAAAACGAAGGAGGTTTTTGCTATAATTCTAGTTAGTTTCAGTTAGTTTTGTATGTACACAATACAGTTTCAGTTAGCTCTAGTATTTGAAGAAACTCGTTTTTATTTTTATTTCAGTTACCGACAATTATTTTACATTTTAGTTTTAGTTTTTTTGTTAGTTTTCGTTAACTATAATAACCTTGCACTATATAGGTTAGAGTAGGTATACTGACACTATAAACATTTATTTTCATGCACAACTGTGTGTTCGTTATGAAAGAAAAAACATATCAAATTCTCAAATCAAACTCTAAAATGCGATATGATGATTTAAATGATGTGCACGCTGTTGGCTTCATTTTCTCTGCATCACTCTGTGCCACAAACTCAATATTATTTACTACTTTATTACCTGTTACTCACAGCAGGTTCTGTTCACTAAAGGAGACGCGTGCATCTATCATTAAGTAGGGCGCATGCCCGTACTACAGCTCACGGTCAGCAGCTCGCATCACGTGTGATTTCCCGGCCGCGAATACAGCATTATATGAAGACAAAAATGACATTTTTATTTGAATTATACCTTATAAATACAGTATGTGACTCACTCAACATCATTTGGAGGTGTCCCTGTTGCTGAACAATGTATGTGAAAGAATGAAAAGACTCGTGCAGCTGCCATTGCTTCTCCCCTGAACTTGAAAATATTATTAGCTAAATTGTAGAAATGCTGGATAAAGATCGTCTAGGGGGTCGAATCGAGATTGTGATCTTTTTACGATTAATTCTGCAGCTCTAATATATATATATATATATATATAGGCAATTTACAAAAATGTCAATAAAAATTGCAATTAATTGGGAATTTAGAGCTGCTCTATGATCTTTAAAAACAGTCTTTTTAGTTTTAACTTGATAAAAAAATTATTCTAAATATGCATGACAAGATTTAATGGTTTCTAAACTTATTGTTACACTGATTGACATTTTAGAGTGTGTTTATTGTAAATCGGGATTAAATTATTGATTTGCCCTGTTTTAGTTTTTTAAAGGACACATTCTGCATATGAAATAAAGATTAGTTATTACTCTTGCATTATTTTGAAGATAGAAACCCCCTTTTTGTCTTTGACTCATCTACTTGCATGATACTGTTGTTCCACAATCTCAGCTTTTGCGTTTCTTTTTCTGCCCGAAAGGCATGAGTCCTGTGTATACAGTCTTACATTTCATACAGCTATTATCTTTACCTTTGTGAGAGCAGACTCATTGTTTCTTTGCAGGATGTAGGAAAGGGTGGTATTCTCCATTCCGCCTATTGCTTTTAGAGCAGACTAGTTTTCCTCTTTCCTTTTGAAGCAGGAAATAGGAAGCCAAGGTTTTGAACCGCATATATCTCTGATTTTGTCCTGCAGACTTGTGTAATACTTAATGGTCACACATTTGCATGAACTTATAAACGCTTTTTATTCTCATTTCTACACTGTAAAACAAACAGGGTGCTATTATTATTCCAGCTTGACCCCGCTGCCTTAACAGTGGCTTTTCCTTCAGTCACTTGTTTATAATTTCAGGAAATGGATAGTCTGTGAAGCAGCTTGACCTCGGGGAGGAGGCCACATCCGCTCTTTGGGCCGCTTTAGGATTGGTTGAAGGACAGCGTCTGATGCTGAAGTCTACAGGCTTTTTGTTAGCAGTGCAAAGTCTTGATTTGTGCTTTGAGATTGAAGTGGTTTGAGTTAGAAAATGTGAATTTGTTTGCCTATGAATGACAGCACATTGCTTGGGTCTTACAATTGGTTGCTAATTAGAGTGGTTGTAAAAGCAACTCTGTATGTTCTGGGTATTTGAAGGTATTTGAAGGGTGTAGTGTAGGTATTTTGTGTAGATATTTCTTTATTATTAGTATTGTTTAAATTTTTTTAAATTGAAGTTTTTGTTTTTGCATTTAGTTAGTTACATTTCCTGTAATTTATTTGATGCATGCAATCTTTAAAAGTAAATTTTTTCTTTACATTTTTCGGATTTTCACACAAAACATTATCAGCTTCGGTAGCATCCAAAGTTTTAATGTCAGTGCTTCCACCGATTGCTTTTAGTGAAATACACCAAAAACTGGTGAAATTCATGCAGTTGCATTTGTTATGCAAAATATGTGTTCATAAAACACTTGATTCTACTAGTATATTTAAATGTATGGAGTAGGGCTGCACAAAATCGTTTCAGCATCGATATTGTCATGATCACCAGAGGTCGCTGGAAAACATTCACACTCTTACAAACTACAAATTCTCCAGTTCATGGACTACAACTTCATGCACTCTGTTCACTCACGTTCCAGATACTGACTGATTACACTTCCACAGCTGAAGCTGCTCAAGGCCTGATTACTGCACTGAATAAACAGCACAGAAACACTCAATGTTGCTGAGTCTTGTTATCTGTAAAGTAGCACTACAACATGTTTTCCTAGGCTGCGTCTGAAACCGCCTACTACTCAGTAGGGACTGCATTTGAATTTAAACATACTACTCGGCTGTAAGAAAAGTACGTTCTAAACAGTATAAATGTGAACTAGTCGGCACCGTTCTCCCACACATTTTGGAGAGCACCGAAACTATAAGTTTATCGAAACTTAAAAAGCTGAACCACTTCCACACCACTGCATTAGTCTTTCCTCTCTCATCAACTAATTGACAAGATGTGCATGACAATCATAGCTTTTTCCTCAATCACATTTTCAATTTAAGTGCCCTTATCTACCCTAATGGTGCTTTCATATGTTTAGGCCATTTTAGACTGCGCATTAAGGCCTCGTATTGAGTTCAGCACCATTTTTATTTTTCTCTAATGAACCTAAATATACATACAGCGCAGAATATTGTTTAATTATTGTCATCAAATAAAGCTTAAAGCTTACTTGTTCAGTAGCACACACCCTAAGCATAAACCTGCTGATATTTTCTCCTGAATCCAAAGTTTAAACTGTAGTAATAGGGACACTTTCCTTATGTGTTTGTGTGTTTTGAAGGAAACTAGAGTTTCTGTGGAAACTGGAGTGTGTGTGTGTGTGTGTGTGTGTGTGTGTGTGTGTGTGTGTGTGTGTGTGTGTGTGTGTGTGTGTGTGTGTGTGTGTGTGTGTGTGTGTGTGTGTGTGTTTGTGTTTGTGTGTGTGTGTTTGTGTGTGTGTGTGTGTGTGTGTTAGAGCGAGACAGTTTGAGTTTGTTAGGCAGCAGCTGGAGGCCATCTCCGCATGCATGAAGAGTTACAGGGTTAGCTTCTCATTTGCTTTTAGTCCTCAAATAGGTAGAGCGTCCTGCCTGCCTTCTGTCAGCGGCTCAGCATCTCTTCAAACGCTTGTCCGTGGCCATCCATGCAGCTGCTGGCTTTGTCCAATACAACATCTAGTTGTGTTTGTTACAATATGATCTTGATTATATCTTTGGTACTTTGTCCTTGCATATGAGCTCATGATGTGATTATGTGAAATGGAGTAAATGTCTTGTGTTTTGTCTTTCTCAGGACGGTTGCGTCTGAGGTCAGAAAGCAAGTTTCCAGGGAATATGGCTCCCCACAGATGTCCAAAAAACGTGCTGGAGCTCATCAGCCGGTTAGTGTGTAATTGTGTGTTTATTTTTGTATATTTGCATACAGTTCTGCAGGCCTCTGTCAGGTCTGGAGCCAAACCGAAAGTGTAATTTAACACTTTGCTGAATTTTTGTTTTGACAACAATCTTGACTCTTGTACCTACTTTAGTACAATGTTTCTCAACTGGTGGGGAAACATTTTAAAAAACAAAGTAAAATTTTTTACTTATTTTGCTCATATCGGACTTTAATATTGAAATGCGCGTGCGACAACCGTACTGTTTGACATGTGAGATTGCAGCACGAGTATGACTCTGAATATGCATAGATTTACATATATTGACGATAATAAAGGCTTAATACCTCAGTGTGTCACAAGCAGTCAGGTGCTCTTACAAGAGAGCGTGAAACCTGCTAAATTAAAACGAAATTTAGAACCAAGTACTTCCAAGTATTTGAAGTACAAAACATCCCAGTTGCAAGGACAAACCTGTGGACTATTTTTAAAGACGACTCCATTAGCTGAGGGCATCACAAAAGTGCCTAACATCTTCATGTTCAAAACAAGTACAGGCACTCCGCTCATCTTACTGTGCTCCCCATTTAGCAAAGGCCAAGAAAGCCCACACAAAAGCAGAAGAGCAAATAATTGGTGATTATTATAAAATGGTTATGATTATTTTAATCATTTTACTTTAATTTGCTGGTTTCTGTTCAGTTCAACCGGATCAGTGTTAATGTTTTATAAACAGTTCAGTTTAGTTAATGGTAACTTAACTTTTTCTTATCCTAACCACTTTTTACAGTAGTTTACGTTTTTACTCTCGTTAGTATTCGTTTTACTTAATATTGTTTATTTGTAAGTCTTGGTGATCATATGATTTTTCTGTCACTAGTTGCGTATGTTAACAAATAAATGTAAATTAATTATTATTACTAAAATTATATTATAGTTTCAAAAAATTTGGGTCGCGGCTTGATGACCATGTAAAAATGTGGGTCCCGTGGCCAAACCAGTTGAGAACCACTGCTTTAGTAAATTGTGTATAGGAAACGTTTGTTATTGTGGAATTCAACAGTAGTATATCAGTAGTACAGTGCATACAGAAGATGTTTACATCACTTCAGGTTTCCTCTTATTCTCTTATATCCTTATTCTAAAATTAATCAGTTAAATAATCAATCAAATAATGAAATTGTTCAAAATCTTACAAGCAATACTCCACAATGACAACACGATTGACGTTTGTTTGTAATCATTAAAAATTTATTAAAACTAAAAAACTAAAATACGTATATCTGCATAGTTCAGCTGATAGATGTGACTTTTTTATACTCTCGTGTCTGTATATTTGCGAGTGAGTGAGCCATTGACCATTCCTTGACAATTGCAAACATTTCTGTTGAGCATGTGAACACAATGGGCAGTCAACCCATGTCTTAATCTCTTATTGGCTATAGCTTGTCATTATATTTGACCCCTTGTGCTGTCAGCAGACTGTCTAGATAGTTTACAATGCTAGAATTAATATTGAATTGAAAGCCAGGGTCCACTCATCACCTAGCCAATACCATCCATACAGTAAAGCACAGTGGTGGCAGCAGCAGGAACTGGAAGACCAGTCAGAATAAAGGGAAAGGGTAATAAAAACCTAATAATAAGCTAATAATAACCTCTGGTTATCAGAATGTGGCAACAGTTCATTTTTAACAGGACCATGACCCAAATACAATACTGTGAATATTCTTCAGTGGCTCAGCCGGAGTCCAGACCTGTACCCTATTGAACATCTCTGGAGAGATCTGAAAATGATAGTATACACCAACACTTTTAAGCTGGTGGAGAGGAAAAAATAAGTGAACCAAGTTTGTAGCATCATAGTCAAAAAGATTTAAGGCTGTCATTGGTGCCAAAGACTGTGAATAGTGTGAATATTTTTTATATATAAACTTGCAAAGATTTCAAGCTTCTTCCATATTGTGATTATGTTTGTAGAATTTTAAAGGGGATCTTTTTTTAGTTTTGGATTGTGCTGTAAAATGGCAAATTAAGGAAAAAGGGGAGAGCTGTGAAGACTTTTCAGATTCATTGTCTTTTAATGTTTCACAATAATAGCAAGAAATTATTTACTCAATATATACAGTGCTCAGACGTCAGACAAAATTCTGGCAACTCTCCTGTTCAAGCTTTTTATGCTTGCTCTGAGCCAAATAGTGAGAAAGAACCAAACTTCCTACCACAGCTATGCTAATGAAACTCAGATCTACTTAGTCTTACTGCCTAATGACTACAGTCCCATTGACACCCTCTGCTAATGCATTACTGAAAAGAACCGTCGGATATGCAAAAACTTTCTTCAGTTATGTTTCTTCAGTTAGTTCAGACTGCATGATTTTAGCCCTGATTATGACTCGCTGACAGGTTTTGAGAAATCACAGACAAATGCCTGAAATCAAAGGCAAATTTGTGCTCGTGCACGTGAGTGACAGTTACACAGTATGAACTATCAAAGACACAATCTGAGAGAATCGCAGGTGTGTCGTAGATGCCTGTGAGATATTTGGCGTGCGAAATATCTGCAGCTGTTGGCGATTCAAATCATGCTGTGTGAAATGAGTTTTGGTTGAAAATAACATCGGCGATCACCTACAGCCAATGAAATGCAGCATTCACTTGTGTGTGTATGTGTGTGTACCTGCAGGCCAGCAGGAGGTTGAGGGAGAAGTAAACGCTCCTTTTCAGTTTATTTGGACCCAAATGGAGGAAAAACTAGTGGAGGTTTGACAGGAGTACCTGTGTCTGTTTGATGTTTCATACAGAAAATTAAAAAAGAAAGTTGAGGAAAAATTGCTAATTCCTTTTAAACCCCATTAAAGGCTTAATTATATAGTTATTAACAAAATATATATACTACGTGTTTTTGGCTGTGAGACCTGATTTGGACGAAATGGTAGCCCAGATAATCATGCAGTGTGAAAACATCTGTGACATGACTACTTTCAAAATCATGCAGTCTGAACTCTGCATTAAACAAGGAGAAAACTGAAGTAATTGCATTTGGAAACAGAGATCATGTTCTCAGGGCCTACTGACACTATGCCATCCGTACTGTGCCCAGACCCGTTTCCCGGATCGTTTGAGAAGTGTGAGTGCGCTGAATCGGGCTCAAGCACGGTTCACTTGGCCGGCCCTGGCCCGGTTGGAAGAGGTGTGCCTGAGCGCGGTTCACTTGGGCTTTGGCCCGGTACGCTTGTGTGTGAGTGCAAAACGCGCCAAAGCCCGAAACTGAAAGCGAGACGTGACTTTTAAGGGACTGTTTCATATAGATTTATTAATCATTCTTACTGTTCAGTGAACGCAAACTGCCGTCGTTTATTAAAGACGCAAACTCCTCACTTCACGACAGCTGCGCGCCTTCAGCAGACCTCCTCATTCCTGCAGCACGAGGGCTTTATGATTGTTTTTGAGTGCCAAAAGTGGCGGATCTGTCCGGCGAAATTTCTGACTGCCTGTCCCCGCATCCCTAAGGACTGTTTGGCGAAATATTTGACGGCATATCAAACGACTGAAACGATATAACTAGAGAAATCTCCACTGTGCTGCTGAGTGAGAGAGCACTTCTCACTGAACAGCCCAGCAGCGATGACGTAAGCATGCCGAAGCCCGTTTGTGGTGTGAGCGCCGGCCGTCGGGGGAGACGGGAGGGGGGACAAGCGTGCTTTGGCCCGGTTCGAGGCAACTGTACCTAGTGTGAGTACCGCCTCAAGGTGAATGCGTACCTTGACACTAAGGGTCAAACAACAAAAAATAAGGTCAAGAATCTTGGTGTGACTCTGGAATCAGATCTGAGTTTCTATTTCAAAGCAGTTGGTAAATCAACCTACTATTATCTCAAAAACAAGAATCAGATGCTTTGTTTCCAGTGAAGACTTAGAGAAACTTGTTCATGCTTTCATCAGCAGCAGAGTGGATTACTTTAATGGCCTCCTCATGGGCCTTCCCAAAAAAGACAGTCAGACAGTTACAGCTCATCCAGAATGCTGCGGCCAGTATTCTGACCAGGAAAATTAGAGCACATCACACCTGTTCTCAGGTCTTTACACTGGCCCCAGTTACATTCAGAATAGATTTTAAAGTATTATTGTGTAGAAATCATTAAATGGCCTAGGACCTCAATACATTACAGATATGCTCACTGAATACAAACCTAACAGATCACTTTGAGCTTTAGGATCAAATAAACTAGAAAATCCAAGAGTTCAAGGCATGGTGAACCAGCTTTGAGCTACTACGCCCCTCGGTGTCGTAATCAGCTTCCAGAAATGGTCAGATGTGCTCCAACATTAGGCACATTCAAAGTCGAGGCTTAAAACACATCTATTTAGCTGTGCCTTTACTGAATGAGCTCTGTGCTACGTCCAACAGATCGCACTATGTTTTTCTCTTCTTTTTCATTATTTTATAACCTGTTTTAACACATTTTTAATTTGTTTTATATATATATTTTAAACATTTTTATTATTTCTTTTTATTTTTCTTATACTTTTTTCTTTTATTCCTGTTTATGTAAAGCACTTTGAATTGCCACTGTGTATGAAATGTGCTTTATAAATAAATTTGCTTTGCCTTGCTTATTATTATTATTATTACAGAAACCTTTGTTAAGTGGACCATTTTCTAAGCAAAACATTTTTTGCATTATGTTTGTCAAGTTTCCAGTGATAAAACCGTAGATGTACAAAATTAGTTTAATGATTTCCAGTTGTCAAAGTGGATGTTTGTGTTCATAGTGAATATCTATTAGGACACCAGTATTTGACAAAGGATTCAGGCATTCAAGTGTGACCAATAAGTGGGCAGAGCTGTTTTAGGAGATTATAGATGGATTTTAAAAAGGGAAGTGGAAATGACCACAAGCCACAATCACTTCCCCTTTCTTTCCCCTTAATAACACTAGGTTATTTTGAAGGTTTCTTTTTACCCCATTACTTACACCCACACACACACAGATATGTTTGTTTTTGTAAATTGTGGGGACATTACATAGGCTTCCATTTGTTTTTATACTGTACAAAAGGTATTTGTGTCGCCCTAACCACAACCCTCACAGGAAACGGTACATTTTTACCTCTTTTACTGACTAAAATCAGTATGCGAGCCGAGAAGTATGTCCGAATTCATAGAATTCGAAAATCAGTATGCGAGAAGTATCCGGATGACTTACTACTTCCGTCGAGATTCAAGAGTGCGCATCCCATGCACGCTGCGCTATCCCATGATGCCCCGCGAGCGAATTCATGAATGGGAGTAAAGCAAAGCAATTGACGCAGGTAGGTCATGTGACCATGACAAAATGGCGGATGTAGTACGTCCTAATTCCATTCATACTTTTCACATTCATACTGTATAGAATGTACCTTTCTAACGGCCGAATAATACGTTTAAATTCTAATGCAGTACCTACTGAGTAGTAGGCGGTTTCGGATGCAGCTTTAGGATCTGACAAGTGTAAGCCCATCATGTCTCTTCTCTCTAAGGTGCCGTGTATTATATTATATTAAAACATTAAATCCAGATGCACAATAAATAGCTTATTGACATATTACTTTGTGTGATGACTTCATTGCGTAATCGCAACTCAAAACTAAATTTTTTCTCAAATTGACTGGCCAGTACTCTTCTCAGCAAAAACCTTATTTGAAAGATGTCCATTTAGATTTGTATGAAAAACATAGTTGACTATTTGTCAAAGTAATACAAATATTTTTAAATATAACACTGATAATGAACAGTTGCATTCATTTAA